TAAACAACCTTCATGTTGATACACTGAAGATGTGGTGAAATAGGAGGAAATTTGGTTACTGTAGAGAAACATGAGAATCATAAATATGTTCTTCACTTGACCTTTTCTGTAGAGACAGAAATAAAGACTTTAATCTCATAACTGCAATATTTCTCTCATATCGCTGATTATTGGGGCCGGTTGTTGTTGATCCCTCTCCTGCCAGCTGAACATCATCGCCTCTAAAACACAATAAGAATAAAATGTAAAAATACAAGATAATGTAGAAAATTAATTGTTTTGAAAGAACAGAAAATTAAATGCATGAAGGATTTCATCCACTGACACAGGTGTCTATCTCCAGTCCTCAGTGACTGCGTCCTTTACATGCGTCTCTGGTCCAACACACCTGAGCTAAACGGGTTCTGGTTCTGCTGGTGGCCTGATTACCTGACTCAGGTGTGCTGAAGCAGAGGCAGCAGGACTGGAGGAGTGGAGACAGAAAACCTGAAGTCATGTTTTTGATCAGAGAAACGATTACATTTTAAGAGGATTGTTGCAATTTGGTAGCTGAGCAACCGGGACATTTCTTACTGGTCTCCGAAGCTTCAGCAACATGATGTCATGCTTCAGGCCGCGGTGAGTATAAATCACAGTATTGTGCTGGATCACCTGGTGCTGCTGTTTAGCACTCCGTGGATGAACTTTAAATATTGCTATATTAGTCCTGCAGAAAAGGACAGATTATATTGAACACACAGAAAACCTGATCATCTGCAGATAAAACTGTCTTCATGTCTCTTTCCTACCATCCTGTTTCTGACTTCCAGCAGTGAGCTGCAGTCAGGATCCACTCAGGGTGGATCAGAGATCCTCCACTGCGGGTCTTTGCTTTACCCTTGGTGCCCACCAGCCGAACATGATAAAGACGCTGCTGGTCATCACAATCATGACCTCCAATGATTCTCTTCTGCAGAGAAACATCTGAATTCACTGAAACACCTGAAGAAGAATTAGGAGGACTTTACTGAGAAATCAGGTCCAAACATGGCTGCTGGAACAGCTAAAGATTTAGAAGCATAACAATTTATATGTCCCTGTCTTTATATAAAATGCAAAGAAAATAGTATGGCAAGACACACATTAGTAATAAAGAAGTTTGATATGATAAACTGAGCAGAAAAAATAAAAAGAATTGTCACAAACTGTGAGTGAAGTAAAACAAAATGCAAATGCAAGACA